CTAACCGTTTGAGATAGCTAAACGAATAGCCTTGAAGGTGTGGAATTAAGTTAACCAAGTACGCCTAGACAGGTCACACAACTTCAGGAAATGAAAAACACAGGTCAGGCGTGCAGGGAAGCACAGCACCAGCGACGCACGTTCACATCCAGACATCGAACCCGGAGAGAGCAGCAGAGGGGGGAAAACTGCCCTGTGCCTTCGTTTCAAGATCATCCCCTCTACGGTCAACGAGTGATGGTCCAGAGCTTGTGCGCCTCTCGGGGCTGAGGAAGGGCTGCCCTACAGCTCAGCCACCCGTTGATTGTGCGGAGGCGGGTCTGCAAGAGGCTATTCTGCTGCTGTGACCACTCTGGATGGGATTCAGGGACTCTGGGCTCCCACCACTGTATTGATTTTAATAGCGACAATCTAGAGGGGAGCAGAACAGGCTGTGCTTCATAGATGGAATTTAATTGTTTTAAAGTTTTTAAGCAAGTTGGCTGTCTTCCTGGACTCTTAAATTAAAGGGCAATTAAGTCACTTTCAGTCTGGAAAGAGCTGATGGGTGTTTCCTGGTTTGACTCTTTAAAGTTTTGCCAGGGTGATTAATGCAATGAAAAATTGTCAACTCTCAAGTCAGGGCTGTCAGCCAACACCCAAAGCATTTATCTAAAGCACATGCTCAGACTCTTTTGGCCTGTGGACAGGAGGAAATGGGACAAAATGAGGGTGTAGGAAAGAGTAGCTGGGCATAAAGGACACTGGCACAGCAACACCTGTACCTTGGTACTGAGAATTATTACGGGAGGAGGAGAAAAATTGCTGGTGCTATGGGCTTCGTGGAAAGTTGACTTTTCCCTCATGGGGGAGAAAAACCTGGCTAAACATCAGCCCCAGCTCGTGGCTACTTGTCAGCGTCGGTGTCAGTTATATGCAGTTAACGTTTGTGCAGCAGGTGCACTGCTCCCAGCATGAAGGGAGTGCACGTGAACACTCCCCTGGCACGGCTGCAGTGCTTGCTGCTGCACTGGGAGTACAACCCTCCCTTCGTGCTGGGGCTCCACATACCCTGGTAACGTTGCTGAGAATATGCAAGAGCTCCAGGCTTTCCCAGTTACTAG